GCTCATTTTTTTAGGTTGGTTGGCCCACCAACCCGTCATAAAATAGGGTAGATTGATGTTTTTGACCTATTTGCAAATGCAGATTAGCCTACTCTACCCTTTTTTTGTCAGGTTAAAAGTGAGTGGGGTTGAGTCAAGGTGAATTGACCTATATTGTCAACTCTAATCAAAAGTCATACCTCTAGAGTTATTAGCTCTAATTAGCATAGGGAACATATTAAATGGATTATTTGGATTGAGCTATAGGTCCAGAATAAATTTACATGCTTATGATGCTCTAAACAAAATGATTGACTAATTTTCATTATTAAGATTTCTCTATCTTTTACAAATATGAATAAAGTGTTTAAGTTTGAGTAACTCAAATGACAAAGAATTACATGATATGGTCTCTTTCAATATACTTATAAACCTATGTCATTTGTTTTGAATGATCATTTTGCATTAGAGAAACTTTTAAAATTTTATCAAATAAATAAGTTACTTGTGTATAATATTTACCATTAATCTATTTTTCCAAAAATTCAAGTGTTACAATTTAATTAGCATAGTGCTACATCCTTCAATTAGGTTATGTTTGAATTGATAGAAATGGATAAGAAGGAACAAAATGAAATAGAATGATAATAATTGTCATTCTTTGACGGAATGGAATATGGTGGAACATATTATTCCATCAAATACCTTTATTTTTCTTCCATTCAATTTATGGATATAAAATAGAATGGAATAAAACCAATTTATTTATAATCGATCTCTTTATGATTATTTATTTTTAATAAAACAAAAAATTTAATCTGTTATATTTAAATATAAATTTATTTAATTGCATTCCGAACTAAGTTCCACTCCATTCCATACTCCTTCATTCCCCATTCATTAATTATTTAAATATAAAAACCACTTCGTGATAAAAGATGTAACGTAAGCCTGGTTTGAAGTTCTAAACCCTAGGGACACGAGAGATAAAAGGGAGTGGTTGTGTGTCCGTATACTTTGTTTGTGGTTGCCCTATGTTTAGTTGGAATTGTGGTGGGAACAAGAGTGAGTCGAGCTGCATCACACCACATGGACCCTCTAGAAGCTCTGGTTGCTCAGATCCAAGGGTTTTCGAGTACCACCGACGACGTTGCTTACCTTCGTAGCATCTTGAAGCAGGCCAATGACAAGCTCTGCATAGACTCCACTCACTTGTCTTCCCTTCTCGCCCAGCTTGACCCTTCCCTCCATTCTTTCGGTTTTCTTTATATCATGTATGTCTACCTTTCCTTCATTAGTTTTATTAAAAATTTCCATCTAGAAAAAAATTAAAATCATTTGTAAAATTCAACAACAATTAATTTCTTAGAACTAAACTTGTGTTATTTAAATCCCTAATTTTGTGGTTATTTTTTAATCCTTAAAACCCTATTTCTTGGACCCTAATAATCATTTATTTCTTAGATGGTTGTCTATTTTGAATTTGAATCTTGCTTTTGTGCTTTTTTTTTATTGAAGGAGGTTATTTATTTATTTACTTTTTCTAATTGAGAGCATACATTTATGGCTACAAAAAAGTGTCCATGTTTGGTCCATGTGATAATGGTTTTAGATATTTCTCACTATGATTCAAACCTAATTTGAAGGGACATCGTTGGTCTTTGATATAATGATTAAAGGTTTACCAACCATACCCTTATAGAATATTTTTAAGAGCATTATTTGATTCATTGGACATTTTGTTCAAGAACACCATAATAGAATGGAATGGGTGAAAGGAAAAATAGAAATATTATAGAACTGATACACATTCTTCACTTTGAGGGCAATAGTCCAAAATGATTTTGGGACAATGTAGTTACTAAATCATCCATTTTTGAACATAATGCCTTTAAAAGTGTTGAGACTTCAAAACACCCTTGTAAGTGTTTTCTGATTATGTCCATTTTCCATCAATTTTAATCATTCATTCTTGGGTGTTTGGTTGTGTTACCTACATTTACATTTCAAATCGCCAATGATCCAAACTTGATCATTTTATTATCTGGTTCATCTTCTACGACTATGGTCCACATTAGAAAGGTTATCATTGCTTCAATATATCTACTAATGAGACATATGTCATAAGGAATGTCACCTTCATTGAATCTGAAAACTTGTATCCCAATTCTAATTCTTCCTCTTACAAAGAAACACATGGAGAAAGAGAGAATTGGTGGAAACCGATTGGTCCAGTATTAGTGAATAAAGTTAGTACTAAAGTTGGATGGATAACACCATATATCAAATATGATTTGATGATACCAATTCCTAAGCGAAAAGTTCCTAAGCCACAAGAAACGTTAGTTGAGGAAGATCATATTGTGTAGATCTTGTGAGAATTAGTAATACATGAACAATTCCCTCTCTTTCAATAGCCAGGGTTTAGTTTATCTTTGAGGATATCCATAAGGTAATTTCTCCCACTGTAATTGAATTTTATTTTTTTCTAAGTAAGCCTTTGAATCAATACTTATTAAAGAATGAAGAGAAGTGGTCGAGATATCTTATTGTAAATTTTATGTTGGCAATAGGTTATCAGAACAACCAAAGGTATTTTTGTTGAATATGTCTTTTGTTTGCAATACTAATAGAGTACTAGATGCTCTAGGAGACCCGAGGTGGGTTCAAGCCTTGAAGGGAGATATGGAGGCACTGAAAAAGAATAAGACTTGGAAACTAGTGAAATTACTTTAAGGGAAGAAAATAGTGGGACATAAATGGGTGTTTAGAGTGAAATATAAGGCAGTGAAATTTATTGAGAGATATAAGGTGCGACTGGTGGTGAAGGTTACTCACAAACATATGGGGTAGACTATCGGGATATTTTCTCCCATGTTACAAAGCTCAACACTATTTGGGTCTTGCTATCCCTTGTCGTGAACTTAGATTGGTCATTACATGAAATTGATGTTGAAAACATATTCACACTGACATTGAATAAGAAATCTGCATGGATATTCCACCAGACTACAGGTCTTTGTCTAGGCCAAGTACAATATGTAAGATGGAATTATCATTGTACGAGATAAAGTGATTATTGTACGAGGATAATTTGGATTCCTATCATTAAGTTTGAGGATCGGGTGGTGGATATTTTGACTAGGGTTGTGTCGAGTAAGAATTTTTATAACTCACTTTACAAGTTAGGTATCCAAGATATCTATCTATGTACCAACTGAAGGGAGAATGTTAGCATGATTAACAAATTAGGATGATTTGTGGATGATCCTAATTTGGTGTAATCAGAGCTGTAAATAGTCACAAATTAAAACGATTAGGAAGAATCTTGATATGGTGGAATCAAATTTGTAAATAAGCATATATTGCTAAATTAGTGGTGTGAGATTATTTTCCTTATTGGGATTTATGTTGTTTCTTGCATTGGTATCCTCATTGTGTATAATTACGCTTTTGGGATATTGTAATAGACATAGTGGTAACCAAAATAGAATAGCAAGCTAGTTTATCGAAGGACATATGCACTATATCGAACCTCGTAAAACCTTGTGTTCTTTTATTATAGCGTATTTGTTTAACATCTCCATTGAGTGGATTCTTGGAAAGCTTGATAACTATAGAATGCATAGTTTTCAATGAGGTGAAGGATAGGCACAAGGTAGTACCTCATAGTGTTTTTGAATCGTGACTTAGAACTTTTATAACAAGAGTCTAAATTTTGCTCTCCACCTTTTCTAGTTATGTACTTGTTGGTGAAAGGTGGTGACTTTGTTACAGAATAAAGTGTTACCTTTACCTTTTGTTGTTGCATTAGTTATTCATTATACTAGCTCACAATTGTCTTTTCTATTAAGTCTCTAGTAATGATGCTATTGAGTTCCTGGTCCCCACTTTGATTGTCGAAACAAAAAAATTGAGAAGTTAAGTTTCATTATTTTATTTTTTTAATCTTTTGCACATATGCTTAAGTGATTAAGTTTGTGTAACTCTTCAAGATAAACAATGACTAGATATGCCATTTTGTAAATACTCATACATCTATATCATTTGTTTTGAAGGAGCACTTTGTAACAAATGACTTTTAAAATCTTAGCACAATGCTACACTATAAATTACACTTAGTGTTTGACTAGATGAAATTGAATGAAATGAAATAGAATGATATTAGTTATTATTTGGATTGCTTAAAATATGTTAGATTGGAATAGAATGTAATAAATTATATTGAATTCCATTTTGTTTTGATCAAATCCCTTGTTCGGCTCATTCCTCACTCTCCTTGCAGGATAAAATTTTCATATCACAAAATATATCTTTTCTTTCTCTTTCTCTAAATAACCATCTTCCACTATTTCAACGAATTATCCCCACTTTTTAGCACACACACACATACACACACAATTGTAGAATCACTTGTGCCACCTCACACCTTCTAGAATGCAATGTGGGAACAAGGTCTATGAATGCAATGTGGTGGTTTGCAGTCCTTAGAGCACTTAAGCACTTTGCAAATGAACACCTCGCCACCCTATCTTTTTTGTACACACGATAGAAACCACCACATTGCATTCATAGACCTTGTTCCCAAACCAATTGCTCGTGGGTTTGCATATTAATCCATTAGTCCATCTTATCGGACTAAACACTCATGATTACATTCTGTCACATACTTCTATTTTTGTTCTCTCCAAGCTTAAAATATGAAATAGAATATGAGATTAATATTTTTTATATTGTAGGAAATAATTTTATCTCCTATACACATATAAAAATATATCAGACTAATAAAGAGAGAGAAAAAAAAATACGAGTCCTACACATTTTTATATGTATAGGAGATAAAATTTATTATTTTCATAGAACATAATAGAATCAATTTATTTATTCCTATTATCTCTAGCATTTTATCTACTTTTAAAAAAAAAAAATTTGAAAAAATTGAATTTATTATATTCAAACAATTATAGAAGAATAAATTTTATTCTTTCACTGAATTCCATTCCACCGTCCTTCATCCCCAAACACAAAAGACACTACTTAGTAAAAGATGTAACGTAAGCATAGTCTGAATTTTTTTTTCTAAACTCTGAGAGCAACGGAGAGAAAATAAAAGGAAGAGGTTGCGTTGTGTGTCCCTGTAGTGTGTTTGCAATTAACCCTGCACTGAGTCAGAATCTTTGTGGGAACGAGTCAGCGAGTCGAGTTGCCATCACATGGACCCTCTGGAAGCAGTGGTTGCCCAAATCCAAGGGCTATCAAGCACCGCCAGCGACATCGCTCGTCTTTCCATCATATTGAAGCAAAACGATGACTCGCTCCGCACTGAGTCGACTCGGTTGCCCCCCCTTCTCTCCCAGCTTGACCCCTCAATCCACTCTCTCGGTTTTCTCTATATCCTGTATATTTGTCTACCCTTTTGGATTAATATTAAATTTTCAGCGTTAGTTAATTTGTTAGAACTCAACTATGTGTTATTGATGCTTAAAACCCTAGTTATTGGAACCCTAAGAATGTTACTTATTGCTTTGGTTGTTGGTTGTTTATGTTGGATTTGAATCATGTTATTGTGTGTCCTTTTTATTTGCTGTTGAAAAGTTTGTTTGTTTTCTAATTGGGTGCATGCATTTGTGATTACAGAGAAGCGTCCACGGCTAGTTACGTTTCGAAACAGCAAGCTGAGACAGTAGTTCCGATCATTAACAAATTTATTGCTGCTTGCAATGCCGAGCAGATTCGGTGGGCGCCTGATAAATGTACTCCCTTTTGCCCTTGTTTTGAAAATTTTGATTCAAATCTCCTTAAGTTATAATGCATAGATCATTTTTTTTTTCATGTGGAATGTCTTATATGGCATCATAAGCTAATGAATGTCCATGTGTTATAATTTAAGTCGGTGTAATACTGAGTTTTCGATATATTATAGGAGTACTACAAAATTTCTTGATAGGGACAGGCTGGAGATTTCAATTTGGTGGTGTTGTTATTTTGGGGTTTTCCTTTGCGTAATTTTTTTGTTTTGTTGTTGTTGGATTGTTGTAGTTATATCTGTATGTAAGAGGTTGAAGGACCAAGTGATGCTGCTGGATGCTCCCATTCGGGGTGTGGCTCCTTTGTTGACTGCTCTTCGGAAACTTCAAGTCTCTAAAGAACACTTGACTCCCCTACATGCAGAGTTTCTTCTGCTTTGCTTGTTGGCAAAGTGCTACAAAACTGGTCTATCCATATTGGACGATGACATTTTCGAAGTAGACCAACCGAGAGACCTTTTTCTCTACTGTTATTATGGGTGCGTTGCTTTCTTCCTTTCTTTCTTACTATTTGAAAAAGGGCTGGGGGTGGGACATATCTGGGAATTTGTCCATATTTCAGTGTTGCATTTTAGTTTATGGAATATATTGTGTTTGCTTCAACATGGGTAATATTTTCTTGGACTTGTTTTTATCTCAATTAGACATAGATAGTGTTCTGTTTTTTTACATCAGTGGTATGCTTTGTGGAACTTTCGCATGTCATTTCACTTTAGAGTGTGTTTGGCACTTGGTAGTTGGGAGGGGAAGAAATCAAAAGGAAGTGAAAGGGGATGGAAGGTAATAATGAAACCACTCTTAATTTAAAGTGCTATGTAAATGATCAGCAGGATATATATATATATATATATATATATAGTAGTTAATTGCGCCGCAAGCCGCTCCGTATGGGCGTTGCTGTGCCTCTCCGCAAGAAACCGCGTCGTGCCGCACCAGAACGCAATAGTGGCCATTGCGATCGCATTTGCGGCCATATTGCTGTCATAAGGAAAAATGTCAATTTTGTCCTAAATTTAAATGTGTAACAAAATTTTTTTAAGGGTTTTTTAGTCTATCCGCGTCTCTCTGTCACTTTTGCTATCTCTGCCTTTAAAAAATGTTTCCTTTTGTCATTATTTCTGTCATATATCTATTCCGCTATTTCCGCAGCCGCAACCCGCTATAACGCTATAGCGTTTTTCAGGGTTGGCCGCAACATGCCGCAATCCGCATTTGATAACTATATATATATAGTAATTTTGTTATATAGAAGGAATAGACAGTAATGTGGATTTACATGATACTTTATGAGCATGATCTGCATGATACAAATTTTCAATGCAACAAAGAATTTTGCAATGTCTTTAATGTATAAAAAGTTATTCAATGGTGGAAGAATGACCTTGATTTACAACAGTTGACTGATGTCTATATATCCCTAGAATGTCCGTGTGGGTGTGGGTGTGGGTGTGGGTGTGGGTGTGGGTGTGGGTGTGGGTGTGAAGATTAAATAATGGTCAATTGGGGCCGCATAAAATCGCATGGTCATTTAAATGGCCACATGATTTTATTTTAATCTTGATGGTTCATGGAAATCCAATTGTGACTGTTCACTCCTAATTTTTCATAGAAGATTAGTTTTTTAGCTAGATAATTTTGGAATTGACCCCCAAAAAGCATGAAGGATGAAAAACATTGATCCATTCCTCTTATTCCTGGTTTCCTTTGACCAAGCTCAGTAACATCCGTTCAATGTGAAAAGCAGATAGTTAAGTAACCCAATGATCAACATGTGCATTGACTTCCATTGCATCCCTATCTTCTAGAATTTGTACTTCCCTGCAAATGCATGAGTATTCAAATGCAATGGGATATGATAAGTGAAATTATTCTCTTATCTAATCTTGACCATATTATTCAATTGCAATGGGATATGATAAGTGAAATTATCTCTTATCTAATCTCGATCGTAATTAAATTGAAATACACATGGATCGGATTAATGAGTACTTTGAATACTCACGTCAACATTTAGTGATTTAGATTATGCTTCTAGTCATGAGTTCATAATCAGGAATTTGCATACTTGTCTGACTTTTTACTTTCTAACAGAGGCATGATATGCATTGGGATGAAGCGCTTTCAGAATGCATTGGACCTTCTGCATAATGTAAGTAATCTACCTACAGCTGCAACTTGCATTGGTCATGGTTTGTTCTTTGTTCTAATAGCAACCTTTGGTTCAGCAATATTTTTAATAGCTTATTGGTTATATTTTCCAGGTTGTATCTGCTCCCATGTCTACCATAAATGCTGTAGCTGTTGAAGCTTACAAAAAGTATGTATTGGTTTCTCTCATTCGTCATGGGCAGGTAAGCGTTAACATTCTTTCTTGTCTCTGTATGTGACATGGCTTAATGAAGGTATTAAATCAAAATTTTGCTCTTATATAATATTGAAAAGAATCAAATTCAAAATATCATCTTTATTGCCAGAAGACTAACACTTTGTCTATGGGATTTTTATTTTTCTCATTTTGACCAATTTAGCTCTTATTTTATATGAGGTCCCCTCTTTGTAGTTAATCAGCTGACCTGCCATATTTTTGGTGGCAGTTCTCTACCAGTCTTCCTAAGTATTCTTCTTCAGTTGCTCAAAGGAACCTAAAGAACTTTTGTCAGGTATGACTTAAATTCAGTTGAGGTTAGAAAAGATGGGAAGCCTTTGACCTTTTTGCGCAAAATATTTACATTGATGCTCTTACTTTTGTAAGATATCTTGAGCATGTTAAATTATGCTTTGCAAGGAGCCCATTGATTCCTTTAAGGAAAATGATGCTCTGTCGCTCTGTGAATTTTTTTCCTTTTAATTTATTGTCTCCAACTTTAATGTGTCTGTTGTTGCTAGCTTACTTTCTTGGTTGCATGGGTTCTCTGACTTTTGTATTAGGCAATAACAGCTCCCCCCTCCCTTCCCTCTCTCTCTCTCTCTCTCTCTCTCTCTCTCTCTCTTAAAGGCAATGGCAGCTGATTTAGTTGAGACTTAAGTTTTCAATGGAGTATGGACAAGATAACTTCTTTTGTTTTAATTATATTTTTGCTTGTGATCTGAACATATGTTGTGAGTGAGCTGCAAAGATTTTGAAATCTGTCATTTCCAATGAGTAGCCCCTAACCCTACCACAATATGCCTGCTTTAGTATTTATTTCCCTCTTCTAGGTTGCTGTCTACAGGGACCCCCAATCTTAGCTACAATTTGTGGTTTCCCTCAATTGATTTGTTTTTAAATTTGCTTATTTGGAATTATTTTCTTGAACTATGAAGTATGAACTTGAAATCATAACTTGCTATTAGTGATTTTGGTTGATTACTTCGAAGAACATTGCTGAATTTCATTTGACATGCTTTCCTAGCATATATTTTGGAGTTTTATAACTTGAGCCATGTTAAGTTGTTAACCTCTTTTTCATTTTTTCCCCCATTTGATCAGCCTTACATTGAATTGGCAAATAGTTATAGCACTGGAAAAATTGCAGAATTAGAGGCATACGTCAAGACAAATGCAGAAAAGTTTGATTCTGTGGGTTCTTTCACATACTTATCCTTTATTTGAAGCATCGGGCATTTTCACTTGAATCCTAACTCTGCAATGTGTCTAACTTCCAGTTTGTCATGTTCTTTGGTTACTCATTAAGCTTTTCCAGAAATTGTCTGTTTATGTGACTGACAGATAATTTATGTGCGAATTCCTTTGTTTCAGGACAACAACCTTGGACTGGTTAAGCAGGTTGTATCATCCATGTATAAGCGGAATATACAGAGATTGACCCAGACATACTTGACCCTTTCTCTCCAAGATATAGCTGACAGGGTGCAGTTAAATAGCCCCAAGGAAGCTGAAATGCATGTGCTACAAATGGTGGTCTTCAGAATGCTATATTTTTAGTCATTTTCATGTAGCGTTAATATTTTACCACTCATAACACACTCCTCAACTACAGATTGAGGATGGTGAGATACATGCAACGATCAACCAGAAGGATGGAATGGTGAGATTCTTGGAGGATCCTGAACAATATAAAACCTGTGAGATGATTGAGCATATTGATTCGTCAATCCAGAGGTATGCTTCTGGTATATTTTATGTTCAGCAAATTAAACACAATGACTTTCCTGTACTGTCTGATAAGACAATCAGTAAGTTTCACCTGAAAGCCTCAAGTGAAAATATGCTGCCAAAGCAGTTATTTAATTAGTAATTTTAATGGTTAATTCGGTAGTGATCTCTCCTCTTGTTTATCATTGGGTTTATCTACCACTTACCCCAATTAGCTTGGGTTAAAGGTGCTGTTGATGTTGAATTTGGTAGTGATCTGTGTAAATATTATGTCTTTCCTCTTGTACTAAAGCATTTTTTTTTTTCTTAATTACTGTCCAGAATAATGGGACTATCAAGGAAACTAACTGCAATGGATGAACAAATTTCATGTGATCAGTTGTACTTGTCTAAGGTGAGCATGTTTAATTGCTTTATCCTGTTATGTAAACTTGTATATAAAATATTGATAACTAACACAGAGTATGTGTACTCAGGCCGGTAGAGAGAGACAGAGATATGACTTTGACGACTTTGATGTTCCAACAAAATTCAACATTTAAGGCTAGGCCACCTGTTCATAAAAGATTATATGGTGCTGATGAATATCTGATCCATTAAGCCTTTTCCTTTTCCCTATTTTCCCCCCGAATGGAAGAGAGCATCTGAGATTACAAACCTCTTTCGGATGTTGAATTTTCTTTGCTTATAAAATATTTTCAGACCTTGTTATGTCATGAATTAGCTCGGAGGCTGTTGAATTTGTCTTTACTTATCAACTATTTACAAACTTTAATGCATCTTTTGCACATTTGTACATGCTCAGTTGGCCAAGCATAATGCAGTAATATGTTGAGATGAATGGAATTTTACTGATATTAATTGAACTCGGATGACCATCTCGGAATGGGCTCAAATTTTATTGGGTCCTTGGAATTGGCCTTCTGATCAAGGCTCATCGTTTAGCCATGAGCCCTGACAGCTTTTGGGCTTTCGGGATATTTTTATTGAGTTTTTAATTTTATTTATTTTATCTTTTTATTTTTGTAGGAACAGTTTCATAATTCTGATTATTTAAGGGTGTTATGAACCTTAGTTTAGTTGATTGTTTTGATTGAATAAAGATTGTATTAAGAGCTGCAGTTATTCTGAATCTTTATTCTACTATCTAGTCAATTTTCGCATATGTCTCGGCATTAAGTATTCTGTTAGTTAGGCCATCAACCTTTTAGCTTTTAGGCAATTGATGGTGACTGGTTCTTTGAGTGAATGGGATGCTGGGGAAATTCAAGGATAGCTGATTAATGGTCCAAATCAAAGGCCCAAAATTTAAAAATGGGCAGAAAGGAGAAAGGCTTGAAGAACATGCTGACTTGGGTAGAGAAATTCATCTTTGTGGAGCCATAGGCTATGGGGTATTTTTTTGGGTTTAGGAGGTTCTACCTTTCTATAATCCTTTTCTTCTTTAGCTAGTACCTAGTAATGATATGTGACTTTCTTCCTGTGTCATTTGGTCCCTACCAAATTGGTCTAACTTGCTAGATCTATTGAGAGGAGGAAATGTAAACTATATTAACGTCCAAAATGGAGGGTTGTTAAAAACCAGGGTGGTGACTGGTGAGGTTGATAAAAGGTTGAGGATGTTGGAAGCAATGGTGAAAGAATGCAATGTTGAACAAACAAAATCCCAAATCAAAATATCTCTCTTAACAAAAATCAGTGGCACACTTCTCTCGTGCTTTTTTCTCTGAAACACAGATAACAAAACAAAGCATCTTAATCAAATGATGGTAGTTCAGTTGGCGCGAAAATTGAGTATGTAGAAGTGAGAGTATGTATTTGATCATTTTCAGTACCGTCTTTGGAAGGAGTTTAAAGTCTTAATTTCGGGATCTGTCCCGAATCAGACTAGTCGCGAAGTGATAAACAAACTGGAATATCTCCAAAAAAATTAAAATTAAAATAAAACAAAGCATGTTCATTCTAAAAGATTCTCACTTTCCCATTCCTTAACTATATGGAAGTTTGTGTCTCTTAGTTTCATATAAGTGCTTCTTCTCCCCTCCAATTCACTATTCTTCTTCGCCTCATCCTCTTGTTCCGCATTCTTTGTCCTCCCCCTTTGCAAGAACCATTTCCGTTGCTGCCATGTATTTTGTCATAGGAGTTCATGCATCCAACCCGGACACCTTGCTCGCCGGCAACAATGTCATCATTATTGCTGCAGGTAAGAAGAACGAGGAGGAGTTAGGTGACTTGAAATCTTGGATGCACAAGCATAGCCCTCCCATCCAATGTAGTCAAAATTGAGTTTCTACGTAGAAACGGATGTAATTCGTAGAAACGAAGTTTTTACTACTTAAGGTCAAGATACAAATATATATATATATATATATATATATATATATATATATATATATATATTTTCCCACATAAGTCATTACTCAAAATTTAATAAATAACTTCATATTTAAAAGATATAAGTTACATAACTATATAAGATATAAGCCCAAAAACATTAAAAGAGAAAATTGAATTTAAGAAAAATGGAAAATAGGTTTTTTTAAAAATAAAAAATAAAAAAATTGAGTTTAAGTAAAAACGGTAAAAAACATAAAAACTTGCGTTCTACCGTTTTTACGTTTTTACACGACGTTTTTATCTGTTTCTACTTACGTTTTAAGTTTTAACATGTTTTTACTTTGCGTTTTTACGTTTTTAGATTAGTTTTTGACAACAATGCTCCCACCATTACGAAAATATTCATTTTAATAAATCATTTTCTAGGTATTCTCGTTGTATGATAATCAAAGTAATTATCCCGAGGCCATGATAAATTGATACCTAATATGCTCATGGACAACGAGGTGTTGCTTTTATTGAACTCTCATGGTAAGAAACCTTTACCAATTACTCTCAGGTAGTGTTTGGTTCAAGAAAAAAAAAATTTACTAGAAAAATGTAATTACTAGGGATCTGAGGGGAAAGTGAGTTATATAGGAAAGTTTAAAAATGTTGTTTGGTTGGGCAAAATTTTACCAGGAAAATTGAGTTAAATTACTGAATGTGTATTTGGTTGAAGATAAAATATGGATGGAAAAATTTAATCAAAATACAAAAGAACCCCCAATTGAAATAACCCTGTATTTTTTAAAAACTTATTCAATATTTATTGAAATTACATTCTAATAATTCACCCAAGGACAATATCACAACGTCTTTGTCTCCGTTTTTGTTTGGCAACCCTGTCTGTCGCCGACGTTAATGACTGCCATTGCTTTTCTTTTTCTTTCCACGTTTGCTTTTCTTTTCATTCTTCTCGGGTCTATTCTTCACTACCTGCTGCTTTGGAGGGCACGGATTTTTCATTTGATGCTTCACACTCTCTGATTTTTCCTGCACGAATATGTCAAGCTAGTTGGATTTGGTATATGGTTGAGATTTTCTTCCTCAAATGTGGATGAGATGAGGGGTAACTTTGTCAAATTTTTCGTCCACTTTTCAAGTTGTCCGGTATTATTGAATAATACCATGGTCCAAGAGGGTTTCTTCAACAGTGAAAATTGCCCTGATTTACACTAAAACATCGATAGCTGGGAAAACATGTTTGATGGCTAAATTTTGGATTTTCCCTCAACCAAACGTGGAGAACTCAGTTACCCACATGCACTTTGCTGGGATACTCAGTAGAAGTCCCGAACCAAACACAACCTCAAGGTTATTCAATCCAAATTCTGAATTGTTTGGCTGGCTATGTATCGAATCACAGAATTTGTTGGGCTGGTTTTTGCATAAATTGTATCGAATCATAAAATTAAGAAATGCAATAAAAATAACTTATCATATAAATGGTGTACTAAATATATAAGCTAAAAATTTATTGAAATTTAAAATTTATTAGGTAATAGTTATTATAGAAATTTATTAAAATATAAAATATATGAGATAGCAGTTTTTATTGGGATTTATTGAAATTTAACATTTATGAATTATTGCCAACATTTAATGAAATTCAAAGTTTATCAGGTAATTCGAGTTATTGCTTAGATTTATTAAAATTTAAAATTTTTGAGGCGGTAGTTTTTATTAAGATTTATTAAAATTTGAAATTTATTAGTGAGATGAGGCCCTTTCTTATTTTTGAGGAATATAACTTCAGCTAAGTATTAATTGTTAAGCCTTTAGATTTTAATTTGTAAGTGATAAGTCATGGGAGACCTTTCACATTTTTTTAAGATAAAATATTGGAAAATGGGAACAAATAAATAATGACTAATTTCGCCAAAAAGAAAAGGGAAAAGTGTGTATAATTTTAAAGGATGTAAAGTTGTATCATTTTAAGAGAGAGAAAGAGATAGATTAAGGAGGAGAAAGAGTTGACAAAAAAAAATAAAGGTGTGGGTCCCATGTCTTTGTGAGAGTGAAAAAATGTAAATTGTGTACTTTTAAATGGTAGACACTTTTCCCGAAAGAAAAACAACACGGTATACAAGAACAAGCAATGAAAGTGGGGATAACGATTCACATGACTCGATTTTGGAAATTATATATTGAAATGCCACATTTCACATATGGGAGCATTTATAAACCTATAGCACGACGATACATTGTCGTCACCGTCAGCAAGAAGCACGAGGAGGAGAAAGGTGACTTCAAATCTCGAACTTATGGTTTCTCTTCATAAGGAGAATATTCAATATGATAAATCGTTTCTTTTATGGCTTTAATATTTTTAAAAGTGTGAATATGTTATATATATTCACTCTCAAAATGATGTCATTTTGATTTTTAAGATTAAAAAATTACAATGAAAAAAGATTATTATAATTTTGAAATAAATTATAATTACAAAAGAGTTATATTTATCTTATGTTACTTAAGATAAATAAGTTTCCTACATACAAAGTGGAGGTGGATCTCACATTTATTTTATTTCTCTTCTCTTACATATACGTCTCACTTATAATTATATTTATATAACATGATATAATTATTTTTCTACAACATAAGATAAATATAATCCTTATAAAAATATATTGATTTCCGACTACTCAATACGACGTTGTTTTGAATTCAATCTAAAATTTACTGTAGAAGAAATGAATCATTCTTTTATTATATGTATTCACCATCGTATGATAATCAGAAATATGGTAATTATTCTGATTATCAAAAAGTGGGGTATATTTACAATAAGAGGAACAATTGACATAAATCTTGTCTAAATTGAGAGTTCAAATTAAAGGATTATAGTGGGGAGTAAATCTTTTCACATGAAAAGTTGACTCCAACTATACATTATTAGGTAATTATCAGGACACATAGAACAATCACAAATGAACAAATTATGATAAATATTTGGAGAGTTTACCATCTTCGTCTCTCTCTCTCTCTCTCTCTCTCTTTTTTCTTTCTTTTTTTGGAGATTGCCATCTTCGTCTTTAAATATGAAATCTTCATAAAATTGCAAAATGTCATGGGCACTTCACACTGCTCATTTGTAGTAAGAAAGTAAGTTCCTCATAAGCAGCCTTTTATGCTTTCCTAGATTTTCGAAGCTTTTTCCTAATTTCCTTAATCTAAATTTTAACCAATAACCTTAGTCTTACATAGGCGCAACTTGTGCAAAGTCGCGCCCCACAAAGACGTGAATCGTCCGGTGAATATGTGGCAAAAAAAATCAACATGGTTTGACTGTAAAACTTCTGAAAGCCATAACTTTCGACTCAGGTGTCCGAATCATATGATTTTTTTTTGATTTCCCATAATTTTTCGTCATCTACATAATGACCTCTCATTGAAGGAGTTTTGGTAAAAAAAAAAAATCGGACATCCGAGTAACAGTCCATGTAATG